TTAAAGTTTTAACCCCCCCTTAAACCCCCCTTTTTAGTCAGATTTATTTAAAAAAAAAAAATAGTCTTTGTTCCCTTATAAAGCTTGATTTTTCCTGAAAATTTCAAATTTATATCATATTTCGTTTTTAAATTATGATTTTTTTAAGTTTTAACTACCCTATAACCCCCTATTCTTAATCAGATTTTTAAAAAATTATTAGGCCTCGTCCTCTCATAGAACTTCATTTTTCCTAAATGATTTATAATTTTTTTAAGTTTCAACCCCCCCTTAAACCCCTCATTTTTATTCCGATTTTTTTCAAAATCAATAGGCTTTGTCCCCTTATAGAGTTTGATTTTTTCTATAAATTTCAAGAAGATATCATGTTTCGTTTTTGAGTTATCGTGCGGACAAAAAACGTGACATCGGAAGGACAGACAGACGGACAAAAGTAAACATATAATACTCTTCACAGACTACTGTGTGAAGAGTATAATAATGTTGTAAATATTTGGTAAAATATTATTACAATTTATTAATTTCTAATTAGTAACTATTTCTATTTAGGACAAATCTATTGAATTCGTATATTATTCTTATGTTAAATAAATACATGTGAAAATGTCATTTGTTTTATTAGCCAGAAAAGCACAAGCTGAGACTAGGGAACCAGCCAAGGCATTATATCTAATTTTCTGCTGTGTGGAACATATCATTTTTTCTCCGAATGCCTTGGCTGATTTCCTAGTCTTAGCTGCGCTTCGCCTATGAAACACCAGCCACGACATTAAATCTTGTGCTTTTTTGCCTAATAAAACAAATGACAATTTAACATTTATCTATTAAAAATGTTGTTTAAAATAAAAATAATATTAAACGAATTCAATAGATTTGTCCCAAATAAAAATAGTTACTAAATTTTTTGTATTGACGTACCCTATAAAGATTTGTTTAAAATTAAAAAAGTAGTACATCGGTAAATTTTTTTGACTAATAATGAAAACCTTTTACTGCACAAAAATGGTTTTCAAATGTTTATTTTGCACTATACACGTCTTTGAAATCAGTACGAATTTTATCTAAAACTGGTTATAGCGTGTGAAATACCCTGTATAATCTCAGACTATTTTATTGTTATAATAAGAAAGGCAAGGAAAATTCAAATATATGAAATACAAGGTGTCCCATTTTGGAAAACTTTGATATGTACCACTTTCTTGGAGAACCTTGAATAATTGGAAAGTATAATGTCGCTTTTTGATTTTTTGAAAAATTATTTAAATTTATGAAAAAGTTTGTGTTAACTGGTAGTCATAGAATGGAATAAAAATTTTTTTTTTAAATAACACACGAGAATAAAGTTTGGCCTTACCTCGGAAACTGTTTACCAGAACAATTTCTAGATTTTTCAACAAAATCGTTGGAATAAAATATGTTTAATTTTGTAACTTACCGCTATATCTCGCGATAAAGGTATATTTTTTAAAAAATATAATTGTTTTTCACAAAAAAAGTTTGATGTGTTTCATTATTTGTCAGGTGTAACGAAAAGAAAACATGTAAATATGTTTAGTTTTGAAAAAAATTCGTAGGAAAATTAATGATTCCCCGTCGTTTATATATATACTAAAAGTTAGTCATTTTTCAAATATTTAAAAAGAAACTTGGTTTCTTGTACCCAAAGCGGCTTTTTATTGACACTTTAAAGACTTAGAAAGATATATTTTTACTGCTTAGGCAGAAAAAACAGACTTACTATGTAACGTTCCAGGTAATAAGTTAATTCAAACGGAAAGTTGATGGAATAACATTTATCGGCGGATACGAATGACTTTAAAGACCTAAAAATTATGTTGGAGTTCTTGCTATTTAATGATTTTGATTTAATTAATTGAAAGTAGTGTACTGAATTGGTAGTATAAGAATTGTATTTGTAATCTTGGGCTAAATGTGTTTTCCCCTCTCTGCTCCCATAGTTGTTTGGCGGCAAAAACCTGACTTTAAAAGAAAAAATATATATTTTGAATCATTATTAGTCTTAATGTTTTGTTTAATCGGTTAATCGGTATAAAAATTATATTTTGTTTTAAATAATATTTTAAACTGAATTGATGATTTTTTCAATAAAAATGATAATTTTTATTTATTTTTTAACTTTCATGACACTAAAGTCCATCTAAACCAAAGATTTCAGCGAATAACAATATTGAAATTTTCAAGCATCGTCGCCCAGTTTGTCCGCTAATTTCTCCTAGCTTATGCCTTATACGATTTTTAATTTTATCAACATTGGCAGACAAATCTGTGCAAATTTTTATACAAAACAAATCTGTTCCTCACAGATTACAGTTTAAAAAGTGATAGAATAAGTGTACCTAATTTAACCAGTATATTTCAAAAGATATAATAAAAATAGCTTTAAAAACACATGTTATTTTCTCGGAAGTAAATGGCAAGGGCGCCTCATCCTAGTGAAAGTATGTTACAGAATCTATAAAAATGAAAAGACTGAGTTATAAACCAATATAAGATCTGGCAACAACGAAATGGATGCCATCAAACCGAAAACGGAATATACAGAGGCCACCAGGTACTCAAAATGAATAAGTATATCATTGGATGCCATTACCTCCTTTAAATATATCTCAGAATATACAGCACACGAAAGTGGCGGCAGTTGCGGTCATTGCTCAAACTACCATGTTTAAAAACATACAAAAATAGGCTGTTTTGGCATCCCGCCAATATTTTGCCGAGAGTTAGTAGGGGTAGGATCCTTTCATTTGCGATGAGTTTCATCGAAAGTCCTCGTGGCATCTGTATATCGGATGCCACGAGGACGTGGATGCCACGGCAGACGCAATTTTAACATGGAGGGATGCCACCAAGGCCTATAAATAAATATTTATATATATATATACCGCTACATACGAGATTTCCACTGTTTAAAACAGTGCCACAGCTCAGTAAGTGTCATCTGCTGTTTTTGACTTTACCTCTTTTACATACTGAAAATCTGCTCTTTTTAACGCACGTTTTACTTTTGGATACATATATAAGTCGCATGGTGCAAGATCTGGTGAGTGCGGTGGATTCTCGACCACAATAATGCATTTGTTGTTCCACAAGAATTGGTTTACAGAGAGCTCCGGGGAGTTGTCTTGGTGCAAATCCACGAGTTCTTTCTCAATCTTTCTCTAAGCCTTCTCAGGACCTTAATTTAGTACTGCTGGTTTACCATTTGGCTCTGAGGTATAGTTCTTTAAAATTTAAAAAATGATAAAAGATCGTTTGATAGACACATAGATATAAGAATGTAATTTTTTGAAGTGTGTTAATTAAGAATATGACTTTAGTTAGCGTGAATCGTTTTGCTATTTTGTTTAAATTCCATATAATTAGGCGTAAAGCCTTTTTAAAATTAATTTAATCATGATACACCTCTTTCAGTGCATGGATTGTCTGTCGTTTAGTTTCAGAGTTGAATTGAAAAATCCACGTTTCATCACGTGTGATGACTTCTCCAATCAGTTCAGGATCTGTGAAGCGTTCCATAATGTCAGAGCAAATGTTTTTCCCGTTCATTTTTGTTCGGGTGTCAGATTTTTTGGTACCATTATTTTTGTGCAAACTTTATTTGCAAATCTTCGTTCAAAATTTTTCTTATTGTCTTTCAGGCAATGTTCGCAATATCTGATTTGAATTTGAATACTCAAACGTCTTTACGCACGATCTCATTAATTTTTTTAATGTTTTATACATTTCTTGATGTCACAGGTCGACCAGAACGATTATCGTCTTCAACTACCTCCAGACCTTCCGAAAATCGCTTATGTCATTAAAAAATTTGGCTACGTGACATGCAATTATCTCTAAACATCTTATTTAACAATTAAAAACATTCAGTTGGAAATTTTAATTTCACAAAGGATTTCCAATTAATGCGTTGTTCAATTTTTAAGGTACGTTTACATCTGACATTTACTGCATGATATTTATGTCTGACAGTTGGTTAGTCCAGTGTAAACACTTGAAAATATATGTCCGAGGGAAATTTTTGTGTATTTACACTGGACTAAACAACTGTCAGACATAAATATCATGCAATAAATGTCAGATGTAAATGTACCTTAGACTTAACAATGTCTTACTCAAATAAGGATTAAAAACAAACTAGATAGAAGAACGAAATAACGTGTCACCTGTACTGGAACCATCCACATCAAGCCTAATGGCTAAGGCAAGCGCAGTCTGGTTATTTAATTGTCTTACCTCGTAGAATCGATGACAATTGTTTAAAGTAACGATGACATGGGTTAATCGTCGTAGCCAACCCAGCAGTTGTAAGGCGAGGATAAGAAAGACCTAGCAAAAAATGTTTGGAAAATTAAAAAAGATTAAAGTGCAATTTTCGCGCATGAGTAACGCGAAATTGTCGAATAATGAGAAAGGTGAATTGTTGAGATTTTTAATAATGGAATAATCACTATAACTCCTCTGTCGCCAAACAAGTTAGCGCACCTTTTTATTAAACTCATTATAATTCTTTAAAGATGTAGCTAGACAAAGTAAATGTATAAAAGTGCGGCATATCAACGCGGTTTATGCCCAACATTACAAAATGTTGGTTACAATACAGAGAAAACAAAGCATTTGTATCCTCATGAATATGTGTCAACAAGCCTTGGCTAGTTTGTAATCCAAATTGAAGTTGCACTAGGAAGAACATGGCCAACATAAAATTAAACGTTTAAATCTGCATGTATTGTGATCTTAAATCTATAAATAAAATTCTTCTAACATGTGGGGCAATGAAGTTTTCTTTAATTCAAAAGCTAAATTTGATTATGAGACGCCCTTTATCTAAGTAAATTTTATATTTTGTTCACAAAATCTACATTGAATTTTATTCTATCTATGCATAATTTAGCTAAAATTTCTACGCGAGCCACTGGCTAAATTTATAGTTACATATGCGTTTGCGGTTTTTCACTATCCGACTTTCGTTTGTGTTGTAGGGGAAAACCAGACTTGGACTGTTTGGGACCCGGCACCGGTTGGTAAGTTAGAGTTCTGCGTTTTTACTTAAAAGTTACAAATTTGATTATGGAGGGTTCGTTACTTTGCGATGCGACAACAAGACTAACACTAACCAGAAATATGTGTATGTTTTCGTGAAAAATGTGTTTGGTTTGGATAAATGTTTTAGAATTTTAAAATGTATTAAAAATAAACGAGAATAAAAAAATGTAGAAATGGGATATGAATGAATAAATTAAAAAATGAAACACTTTAGGGCAAGGAGTAACGTTTTAGGAAAGAAAATTTAGAATATCTGGGAACAATAGTTACCAGAAAAGGTAACGAAGCAGAGTCAATTGGGAAGGTAGAAGATGTAGAGCAGACAAAGCACTTTAGAAGACACTGAAATCGAAAAGGGCAAACGAGTAGAGGACAGCAAAATCTAAATTATATTGAACAGTAATAATACCCATTGTATTGAAGGTAGTAAATATTATATTATCAATAGGAACATACAAAAAAGCTAGAGATCGACTAGTCCTGAGAAAAATCTTTGGAGTGAGAATATCAATCAGTACATAGGGTGTTCCTTTAAGAACAGGACAGAACAATTGAAGATTCTCTGATTAAAAATAGGCCAATAAAACGAAACACGTTGAGGTAAAATGTTACTCGTTTCCGAAATACAGGATGTTAAAAATGAAAAATTAAAAATTATGAATGATTATAATTTTTTATTACTCAGTATAATTTAATAAAATTCGACACACATTTTTTGTGTAATAGGATACACCAATTAGCAAAAAATTAGTTAAATAAAATTTGCCAGTAGCATATGGCATAGGTAAATAAAACCTTCATTTCTTCTTAATTTTACGCTATTCCAAAACTTATTTGTTATCCAAATTGATAAAAATTTAAAAATTCAAAATTTTAAAATTTCACAATTTTAAAATAAATCAAAAAACTTAAAGTTATAGTACAAATAAATAAATACAATAAATAGAAGCGAAAAGTAAAAAGTCTGTCAATAAATAATATGCTTTCGTCACCAAAAAGTTGAAAACTTGTGTAAATTAGCCAATTTAAACTTCTTGAACTATTTATTTTGCCTCAATTTTGACTGAACTACATTTAGAAGATATAGTGGGTAATTCTTTAATTTTTCAGTTCATGGTATATACACGCAAATAAGTTTTAAATAAAAGTTATATGAATTTGAAAAATACATATTTTAAAAATAGCTTTGGTTATATAGGATGTTGCTTTTTTGATCGAAAAATAAAAATGTATAAAAAGGAAAAACTTGTATTTCGTGCAAAACTTTTTTATTAATCAATGCAAAGCGCTTTCGGCTTATTTGCCATCATCAGTGCTCATCTACAAAAATTGTGGATGTAAACTTACAATTTAAAAAGATTTTAAAAAATATATTATAAAATCTGAATTAGACTTTTAAGTCAAAAGTTAAAATAGTATATATACAATTGTTTGAACAAATTAAAAATTACAAGAAACAAACAAAGTGACAAAAAACTGGTATTGGGAATAGTGAGTGTGGGATAAGCTTTTACAAATCAAATCTGATCTCCAGAAGCAAGTTAGCTTGTGTGGAATTAAGGAATCATGCCACCCTCACTATTCACAAAATTGAAAAAAGGTTAACAAATTAGTTAAAATTTAAAGAAATTTACAATTAGAGGGTGATTGTGGAAGATATATTGAAATTTGAATCTAGAATACAATATTTGATATGAAGAAAGTAAAACGCAGAAGGCCAAAGTAAAAAAAAACTGAAGGTTTTTTTTATGTTTTATATATATTATAATTATGAAAAAGTCTACCTACTATCCACAACGTATCCAACAAGTTCCTGGTCATCCTCACTCCCAAAATTATATATTTCGGGATATTTACAACTTGCTAAATCATAATTTTATTAATATTAATATTTTCAAATTTAAATTTCTCTCTTCATTTTGGTTCAAGTTGTTTAACCGTTTCCACATGGCAGTGGTGACAAGCGACACTTGAAGACTTTGACTTGTCAAATGTCAACAGAAGGAGGTGCGTTCACCTCAGTGTGGAACATGTTTCTCCGAGTGTGATTCGAGTGATTGGAGGTTAACGGAGATCAAAATTTGTTATTGAATTTAAAGATTTAATTTATTGTTAGTTAAATTTAAATAAATGTTTAATATAAATGATATTATTATTTTGATGTCAAGACAAAACAAAAATGTCACTCGCGTGATTCTGATGTGCCAGCCCGGGCTCTGCAGAACATTCTTTCAGAGAACCCAAGATGGCACAACTGAACCCGCGGTCCCTAAAGGTGAATCTGAAGCAAAAAATTTTGAAATGCTCTTAGCTAAGTTATTTAAATGCAATTTGTTTAAGTATAGTAAGTATACTTAAACAAATTGCATTTAACAACGGGTATGACCCGGACATAATTCAATCTCTAATCACCAAAATTAAGTTCAAGAAAATTCAAAAATTAGCCTACCCCAATTTAAGTCACATTAATAATTTATACATATCAATCCCCTTCTGGGAAAATAACTTAGCTAAGAGCATTTCAAAAATTTTTGCTAACAACGTAGATAACATCAAAGTATCTTTGAAATCAATTAATAAACTAGACTCCCATCTAGTCAACACAAAAGACAAAACGAATTTGTTAGATAAGAGTGGAGTATACAGGTTGCAATGCAGCGATTGCGATGCCAGTTATATCGGCAGAACTTGTAGATCTCTGGGAGTCCGGATAGGCGAGCACATCAAGAAGCCGGACACATCTGCATTCGGACATCACTTAAGGTTCAATCAACATAATTTCAGCCCAACAAAAAACTCCAAATTATTAGTTAACTTAAACACAAAAAAAAAATTTCAATTTATTAGATTTTTATGAAGATGTTGAAATTACTCTCGAAAGAGACAACAATATACTCTGTCTCAACACTCAAGTGAACCTTAACAGAAATTTCATACCACTCCATAGACAACTCAATTAACCCTCTATGATGATGTAGGTCCGAGTCACCCAACACAAGCCTTCGAGAGCCATCCCCTCCTAAACTCGATTTCACCCATCAGAGCCTACCTTTGGGACCATGGTACTCCTTTGTTTAAAACTTTTTTGTTCTCTATTTTGTCTCTTTTAACCATGAGTACGCTTGTTGAGTGATTTAGTAATTTTTAGGACTAAACATCAGATTCACCTTTAGGGACCGCGGGTTCAGTTGTGCCATCTTGGGTTCTCTGAAAGAATGTTCTGCAGAGCCCGGGCTGGCACATCAGAATCACGCGAGTGACATTTTTGTTTTGTCTTGACATCAAAATAATAATATCATTTATATTAAACATTTATTTAAATTTAACTAACAATAAATTAAATCTTTAAATTCAATAAGAAATTTTGATCTCCGTTAACCTCCAATCACTCGAATCACACTCGGAGAAACATGTTCCACACTGAGGTGAACGCACCTCCTTCTGTTGACATTTGACAAGTCAAAGTCTTCAAGTGTCGCTTGTCACCACTGCCATGTGGAAACGGTTAAACAACTTGAACCAAAATGAAGAGAGAAATTTAAATTTGAAAATATTAATATTAATAAAATTATGATTTAGCAAGTTGTAAATATCCCGAAATATATAATTTTGGGAGTGAGGATGACCAGGAACTTGTTGGATACGTTGTGGACAGTAGGTAGACTTTTTCATAATTATAATGGATATAAAACATATAAAAAAAATCTTCAGTTTTTTTTTACTTTGGCCTTCTGCGTTTTACTTTCTTCATATCAAATATTGTATTCTAGATTCAAATTTCAATATATCTTCCACAGTCACCCTCTAACTGTAAATTTCTTTAAATTTTAACTAATTTGTTAACCTTTTTTCAATTTTGTGAATAGTGAGGGTGGCATGATTCCTTAATTCCACACAAGCTAACTTGCTTCTGGAGATCAGATTTGATTTGTAAGGGCTTATCCCACACTCACTATTCCCAATACCAGTTTTTTGTTACTTTGTTTGTTTCTTGTAATTTTTAATTTGTTCAAACAATTGTATATATACTATTTTAACTTTTGACTTAAAAGTCTAATTCAGATTTTATAATATATTTTTTAAAATCTTTTTAAATTGTAAGTTTACATCCAGAATTTTTGTAGATGAGCACTGATGATGGCAAATAAGCCGAAAGCGCTTTGCATTGATTAATAAAAAAGTTTTGCACGAAATACAACTTTTTTCTTTTGAATCTAAACTACGTGCACACAGCTGTCAACCTTTTTTGGTTTTTTTAAAAATGTATAATTTTGAATGGAACGCCCCATATTTTATTTCAGTTTTAGAATAGTTTTGGTAGAAAATATTTAAAGGGTTAGCATTTTAGTTTTTTTCATATTGAGACACAATTAGTTGGCATGCTTTGATTTTCTTAATTTCGCAAGATATAAAGAAAGCAGATGTGATTATTATGCCATAACATGGTAGTGTCATCAGCAAATAGAGTGAAAGTATTCACAATAGTAAGTGGACCTAAATCATTTATAGGTTTAATGAAATGGGACCCAACACAGAACCCTGAGGGAATCCCGAATATCTGATACTAGCGTTTGCTTACGTTCTTAAAGATGATATTATACCCAACCCAGCGATTCATCTTTGATTCATTCCATAAACTCGAAGTGTTTACATAATCGAATGCTTTAGTTAAATCAGAGAATATCCCTGCTTTAAAATTAAATTAGAATAAACAAACTCAAGAAAATATATTATCAGTAGTGTTCTTGTTCTTTCAAAACCAAATTTTTGTATTTCAAGAAATTTGTGAGTTTCTATTTTATATTTTATTTTTTTATTTTTTTTTACTTTTGTAATTTTTCAGTTATTTAATTTTTTTATTATTTCTAGTTTTTTATTTTTTTGTTTTTCTTATTTTTCAATTTTTTTTTTTTAATTTTTTTTTAATTTTTTTTTTAATATTTTATTTTGTCTAGTGCAGAAAAAAGGGCTATGAGCCAAAAGTTCTTCGAAGCATCGTAATTATGCTGCCTTTAGGTATATACAGGAACAATAACCCTGGTCTTAAAAATTGACGAACATTTTAATTCAATAAATATTTGTTTGACTAGCAAAGAGCTAGTTAAAGAGAATAAGTAGAGAAGTAAAGAGGTTAAGTTGGTTAGGTAATGTAGGGAGAATTTTATATCAAAGATGGGCGAAGGATCGATAAAAAGAAGAGAAGGAGCAAATAGAAAAAGACGGCCGCTTAAAACGTGGGCTGAGGCAGTTTAGCAGAACTTAAGAAAGTTGTGAATCTCTAATTGGAAAGAAACTGCCATTTATAGAAATATGGTCATGATCATGCCTAAAAGCAAAGAGGTAAAAGTTTACTAAGTTATATAAAAAAAGAACAATCTTGAAAAAAAAAATAATATTGAAATATTATAAAAACAATATTTGGTCCAAATAAACACAAAGTAAAGCAAAAAATAACACGAATAATAACGAAGAAAGTTTTACATTTTTTTTTTACTTGAACCCTCCATAATCATTCCAGATACATCTCTGTGTTATTAGTAGGTATTTGTAAATTAAATAATAAAAATGATTTCATGTCTGTTGAGAAACCTTTATTGCCATACTCTTTTTATTTAAAGATTTATTTCTTTGATGTTTGGTATCATTCTTTGATATTTCTGTAATTGATGTAACGATATTGTATTAATTTTTCTTTTAGTTGTCCCGGTAATGTTGATTGTACTTGTGATACTTTCGAGGAAAACGGAGTTCTGAAACTTGAACGATCTATTTACAGTGAAGATGAGTCAAGTAAGTACGGTCAGTTTTGTTAATTCTAATTGTTTTCGAAATTAAAAAAAAAAAATAGAAACTATTAATAATATTTTATTTTTATATATTACTAAATTACAAGAATATTCACACACCAAACAATCAGAATATTATTTAATTTATACAGAGTGCTTTATGTTCAAGTGGAAAATATTTTTATAAATTTATTTCATGAATTTAAAAAATAAATTTTTGCTGGAGTTAGTTCAGATATAAACTTACCTCGTCCATATTTTCATTAATAATTTAAAAAAAATTAAGAATAAATTTTCGGGATAATAAGTAAGTATAAGAAATTTTGGGGTTTGTAGTAAGAATCTATTTATACTCCCTTATTATTAGTATTTGTATTAGTAAATGATTAAGCATTGAATTGGAGACAATATTCAAAAAGGGTATTTATACTCATTTTATAATTATTAGTATTAGCACTTTTTTTTAATCCTAATAGGATATAATTCTACAGTCAACACAATCGTAGTTACTAAAAAAATGTGTAAGAGGTCAGTTGCGATCTTAGAATATTTTTAAGATATTTGAGTTTTAAACGTGTTTTTATTAATATTTTTACTAGTTAATTTTATTTAAAATTATTATTCAAAAATAGGTTTAATTAAGGACATTCTAACGGATCTGTGTCTCAAATTTATATCACGTACAAAGAAGCAGAAATTTGAGACAAATCAAGCTAGGCCTTTGCTTCCTCGTGTTGACATGTGATTAGTTATTTTGTCAACCCTATACTCGGTAAACACTGCTGATACACAAAAATTGTATAGAGTGCATGATTTATACCGAAATATTATCGTTTTCGAGCTTGTTGGAACAAACCTATAACCAGCATACAGCACACACATATTCAAAAATTAGAAATATTTCCTAAAAGGTTTTTAAAAATAATGTTGAAAAAACCGTATCGATATTCATCTGAAATTCTCTATTACGAAGCGGATGTATTTGACATAAAAAACTATATGTATTTAGTATATGAGTACCCTAAATGCAAAACTCGGTATTTGACGAAATTTTTAAAAGTAATGTTTTGGCGCCATTCAATTCCTTGTTTCAAAATCTACCATTCTTCTTCTAAAATAAGATGCAAAACTTCCTATTTCTGCATTAAAAACGCTTTAGAAAACGAAGACTGTATGCAAAACTCTGTATTTGCCTTCATTTGTCAAATACAAAACTACGTAATTGTAACCTGCCAATGTCGTTGCGTCTAATAGTCACGTGATTAAGTAAGTGTACGGGCGGGTACGTAGACATTTTAATTTGTTCATTTGTTGTTTGCTTATTTAGAGAAGATTTTTTTGCTGGTATGTATTTTATTACACCTAATAAAAATGTTTTAATTTATATTTTTGTATCTTTTAAAAAAAAAATTGTAAGAAAATAAATGTTTTAAAATAAGACAACCATGCACTTATCGGTATTTGCAATTGTGGGTTGCAAAACTGGGTATTTTTAAAACATAAATGCAAAACTCGCTATTTTAATTTTAAAAGTATTTTTTTTAATTTTTGGTGGGATTTCGGATTAAAGAGCATAGTTATTTCAAAACAAAATCACTAGAGCTAACTAAAAATAAAATTTAAAACGAATACATATGTATTTTAATTACTGACAGTTTTCTGCTCTTCCTGAAAAATTTTGTAACTAGCAAATGCCGAGTTTTGCATTTAGGGGACTCATATTACTTTTTAATTATTACCATAATATACAACGTTTGAACCTTTTAAAATCATAATTGTAAAAGGTACCTATTTTACAAAAATAATAAAAATAAATCGCAATTTAAAATAAATAAAAACAAACTCGCAATCGAAAATGGGATTAAAATTTAGATGGATAAAACAATTTTGCTAGACTTTTCATAGAAAATATTTCGCAAATATCATTTCAATAACATTTCGATTAAAAAGAATAATTATTGATATAGTAAGTGTCTTTGAAACGAAATAAATATATTTATATATGTATTTATGATAAAGTATACAGGTTTAATCTATAAATGATTGTCGGTAACCCAGAATTTCATTAATTCTATACAAAAAACGGCAACAAGGTAAAAACATATCGACTACTGTCTGGATCATTATAAATTAGCCAATAAGATTTTAGGCTTTATTATGACAATGAATGAAGAACATTTAGTCGCGCGTTTTAAATTTGATTGAATTTTTTGGAATTTAAAAAAATGTTGCATAAAAATTTGTAAAAATAAAAAATATTTTTATATATGATTTGGTGCTTTTAAAAAAAAATATTTCACAAAATATACTCGAACCTAATCTCTTCCTCTCAATATTTTATGGAGTACTTTCTTGATATTAGGGGAAATAAATAACTTGCTCAGTATGATGCATTCATTATTCAAATTAGGGTCTTTTATATTTTCCCGTTGTAACCATGTATTTGGCATGTATTTGCGTTATGCATTTGAATATTTTAAAAACCTATTTAGGTTAACGCCCATTTCTAAGGGCCTGTTGTACAGGTTACGTTTATAATACGTTTTAAACTTTAGTTTAAACTTTAATTTAACCATATGTTTAAACTGATAAACTCGAAAAGGTACCTTGTGTAAGTCCCTATTAAACTATTTGTGGCTAACTTCACCCCACATAGGTTATCAAAATTTTTTTCCGTTTCCACTGAAATTTTACAGTTTTGACGTTTGATGTTGCAGTTCTAAGACATAAGTGACTGTATAAGTTGATGAATTTTTAAAAAGTTTTATTTTTAAATAATTTCATTTATCATTTTAAAGTAAATATTTATAACAAATTTCTATTTTGAAGTTTACGGTACAAAATTATCGTTCACATTATCGTTTTTAATGAATTTTTTTCAAGTATATTTAGGTATTTTGAATAAATAGCGGTATAATAAATAACGTTGGAATTAATAGCGGTTGCACGGAAAAAAATGTGACTAGAAAATTTTATTACAATGTTGTAGTAGTAGACTTGTAGAAAAATACTTAACTTTTTGTAGAAAATTTTACTACAATTTATAGTTAAAAACTATTCATTATTGTAGCAATTGAATTGTCGAATAAAATGCTACAACAATAGGAAAGAAGTCCACAATGTTTAGTATATTTTACTATTGTTTGTAGAAGTAGAAATTTATTACAATTGTCGTAATTACTACTTCTACCTTCTGTTAAAATTTGTACAAATATCAATAATTATCTCTACAAAAAATAGTAATTTTCTCTCCAAAAAATAGTAATACTTTACATCCCTTCTTATGAAAAAAGTCATGTGAATAAAACAGAATTCTGCTATTGGCCAACGTTTTCTGACGTCGATCATAAATGCCAGACAGCATTAGCCATTCGCCATGTTCACAAAACAAAGCATGGTACATATACGAGTGTTCTTCCATTATCAATTGCAGATCATAAAAACTCGTTCGGAAGCTTTACCGACAATTTTGTTTGATCTGCCATAGGCGTAGATACCTACCTCATTTTATAAATTTATTTTATTAATACTTTTAATATATATCATATGCAAAAAAGTATTCGTTAAAAGGAAATCGAATAAATATAAATTGGACGTTATTATACGCCCTTATTTAGACAGATGCACTTAATTGTAATCTTACTTGGAGTTAAAAAAAAATCATTATAGCTCGTTAACTTGCTACAACTCAATATTAAATTATAAAACGTAAAAAAGCGAGTAAAGTGTACCTGCCTGTAAGGGCGTTTGGTTTAAACAGGGTACCAGACGTGAACTGAACCCTTTTTGTACCCCATTCGTTCTTTTTCTGGAAAACGAAATTTCAAAGAAAAAACCATAAAGGAAAATAAATTCTTTGCAAATAAAACAAAAGAAAAGAAAAACAATTCAATTCTAAAGTATCTTTATAAATAATCATGGCAGTCTGAATCCTCTGAACTAGACTCATCATTTGGTTGAATTATGATGGGTTGTAAAGAGGGTAATACTACATACTCATCTTCTTCTTTGATAACATGTTCAACACAGTTTTTCCAAAGCTCTTGACGGTCTGCTGCTAGAACTTTCTTTACGAGTTCTACAACTTCTTTACTCAGTTCTGGAGACTGATTACATTTTCGTAATTCTGATTTTAAGTTTGCCAATATTAACTCTATAGGGTTAAATATGCAATAGTAAGGAGGTAGTCTGAGAAGAGTTTGCACAGCTTGTCAATATAATACATTTTTTTTAACTTTATACCTTTAATAACAGTAAGCATTTCTTTGTTTGTTGGTCCTTTTTTACTATCACTGGCAGGAATGGGAATATTTTTTTCAGACATAAAAACTAAAATTTGAGCTTTTTTACTTCTACTATTTGGTATTTTAAGGAGTTGCCGCGAGTGGTAGGATGCGTTGTTCATAACGATTACTGACTGTGGTGGAATGTAAGATAAAAGCTGTTTATTAAACCGTTTTTCAAATAATTCTGCTGTCATATCTTCATGATAATCAGCTGCACAGTTTTTAATTTGTTTAATAGATTAGGTACGAAACCGTCTTTGCTTCCAGTGTGTACTATTATAATGCGTTTCCCTTTAGAACGTGGCCCATTCAAACAGCAATTTTTACTACTGCCAACCCAACCAAAATTTACTACATCGTGACTGTCAAACCATGTTTCATCTAGATAAATTATGTGTCTATTAGAACTTCTGTAGCCTTTTATCTGACGCAAATAATCTTGTCGCCATTAAACTATCCTTGATGATTCGGTGATTGCCATCTGTTTATTCAATTTTTTGTGTTTAAAACCACATGCTGACAAAACTTGACGCAATGTTTCCAAACCGGTATAAGTGTATCCTGGAAAATCTGCCACCTTTTGCTGTATTACTTCCAATGTCGGAACCCTGTTCTCCTTATATAAACTATAAATTGTCCTTCGTATATAATCTTGGGTAGCTCTGTCAACTGATTTCAGTTTTTCTTTACATGTTTTTCGGTTTTATGCACAGAAAGA